ATGTAGAATCAGTACTGAAAGTATTGTCGAAGGGTTCATTTGCACTTTAACTGAAATGGCTGTATCATAAAGAGGCGCCATGCATGCAGGCCCCGCGTTCACTGTGTAACGTCACTGTGTCACGTCACTGTGYCATACGAAACGTGCTCTATCACAGACTCACCGTACTTCCTTTCATATTATACTATTAAAGGCATTGAAGAGGCGTCACTGCTGGCATCAAAATTCTTCAGAAACGACACCCTTAGGAATCGCTTCCTGAATTTTTGAAGCTCCGGGTTCTTCATCAAAGTGTAGGTCACCAACCAGCGATTGAAAGCAGTTTTGGAAAAACGATAGAAGTTTCTACCTTCTGGCTCTCCTGAGGAAAAAAGAAAAATGAAAGAGACGTATTTTTAGGATTAAAAATTCGATTGTCTGCGATGAACTTCGGGAGATGTTTTGTAACGATTTCGACTACAGGGAGCCCACTTAAGATTAAAGACAAAAATAGGACCACTAATTTGAAATATCGCCTTTTGAATTTATATCATTATAAAATTAACACGAGTGTTTTATTATCGCGCGTCCTGCTTTTCCCCTCTATGGTCCCTGACTTGCTTAAGGGCCATGGATGTATGGATAATTGGACGTGACGTGACGTGACGTCAAGCTATCCTAATTAGATGATAAAATAAGTTTTGCAGAATTTATAAGTGAATTCCAAAATTTAATTTGCCATTTATTAACTAGATTAAGGCTAGATTAAGATTAAGTACAGTCGTTTTGTACCTATTTTGACTAATACTTTCGTTACGTTTTTTAGATTTTTCTCTTTTGACAAGATTGTATCGCGTTGTCATGGTACAAATAAATATTGTTTTTGTTGCAAGGGTGTGTTCAATCTTAAGTTTTCATTTTGAACGAATACCCATATTCTCGTTATGTTTTAAGAATGACCCCCCCCCCCATTCCACTCAGCCTACTCATCCCCATCCCCCATGTTAATCTATAAGCAAACGCTTACGGTTTCCAAAGAAATGAGGACTCCTGGATCGTTGATTATCCACGAGAAGCTGACAGAAAACCAACATGACAGGATGACTGTAGGACTTGAGTACGTTGAGAAAACCAATATACGACAYGTAACCTATTGATAATCGATAATGTATTAATAGTATTCAACAGAGAGTGATATTACAGGATGACTGTAGGACTTGAGTATTGAGAAAACCAATATACGACATGTAACCTATTGATAATCGATAATATATTAGTAGTGTTCAACAGAGAGTGTAGGACTTGAGTACGTTAAGAAAACCAATATACGACATGTAATAACGTATTGATAATCGATTGTTGATTGAACAGTATTCAACAAAGCAGTTAAGTCATCTTTAAAGGGCCGGAGCCGTGCATCGAAGCGAGAACGGCGGTGAGCTTGCAATCAATGATAGAGACCTATTTTAAACAAGTTAAACAATTATTCACAGGTTTCTATCATTGCAACGTCACCGTTCCGCGTCACGCTTCGATGCAAAGGCACRGCAACCTTTCACGATGGCGCAGGGAACTGTGAAAGGGACTATTGAATAACGCAGTCTCACCTTGGTCCCATTTATGGTATCCCAGCATCAGAGGGGTGCGATCGATGCGTGAAAAAAATATCACACCAAGAAACATGCTCTTCAAAAGACGGAATATCGAGGAAAAGAATCCGACCAAAATGTTGAAGAAGAAAAAGAAGAACGACATCACGCAGTAGAGACGGCTAAATAAGACAAAACGAAATGTGCTTAAGTCAACGAAATGGGAGAAAATAATAAAGGGAATGTTAGTATAATCTCTGACTTGTAATAGTTGAAAGCGCTCGTTTATTAGTTACATCAGTAAGATAAAAACATTAAAAGATGTAGTATTATCGACATAATTTTTTCATTTGGTCTTGTTRGCCAGGTTAGAGCTAAAAATACTGGTTTACCGCCAGACGTTTCTTTTGGAAGTGTCCCGTAATTGCAAATTTGTTAGCATTTGTCGGAAGAGATGTTGGGAGAAATGTTGGGAGAAATGTTGGCGGATGAGTTGATTTTGAATCAATCACTCCAAAGTTGATGCCATCGTCTTGCGCATCCATTTAAGAGTGCGCGCACATGGCGAAACGTTTGTAGTAGTGTAGAATTGCCCCTAGTAGAGTTACACAGAGGGCGGCGGACTTTACTAAAGTCTAGCGGTAGTGTAGAGTGCGTTGGCTAGCAAGTGTTAGGGCATTCAAGCTATGAGGGATTCCTTCAGGATTTGAGAACCGAAGAGAAAGATGATTCGAAAAAAATGACTCTAGAGTRCACGCAATTTTGGTGAAATTGTTGGGGTATATTAGGCTTGAACCCAGTCGCTTCTCTTACGCTTTTATTGATCTCGCGCTGTGGTTGATGGGAAGGATTTAGTGAGTTCGCATTCGCGCGCATTAATAAAAACGTGAGTGACGACTGGTTACGAGTCTGAGTACGAGTCTGGGGATTGTCTGGGGGTATATATAGTTGCTAATGCGTGCTGCAGAAGTACGAGTATTTGGGGTTTTAGGTCTGAAGGGGCTATTCCAGCTAGWTTTGCAGGATTTCAAAACACGGGAAGGAAGATTCGAAAAATAACTCAAGACAGCGAAATGRGATGGAATGCACTTTTCCATGTAACCAATTTAGTAAGATATGAAGTACCAATACTGAGCAAATGGTTCGATCTTTTCAAGTAGACAAGGAAGATTGTACTTACTGGTTATTGATGTTAATAGTCCTATTAGGAAAGCGACGATCTCTGAACACCAACCATCCAAGCAAGAACTGGCAGATCCATACACAAACAGGCACCACGAATACAGGTCTGTGGAAGGACAGAAACAGAGTAACATTCCACTTGCGAGAAGGCAGGGTATTYAGTGTGCACTCTTGACCTACTGCACTCAAACCTACTTTACATCTTATAATATTGCTTATTTGCGCTCCGTCATAAAATTCCTCATATTCGATTCAAAATTATTGCTTTTCATTCGATGTTGAGTTAACGCTACTTACAAGACGCTCTCGAATTGGTGCAATACCATATCCCACCAATGACGTTTGATTATGAACCCAAGACATAACGAGATGGTCAACAATACCATTGCCAACACAATATATCCTTAAAGAAAGAATTAAAAAAACTAATTAAAACACCAAAGTCAAAAAAGAAAGAAAAACCAGAGGAAGGAAGGAAGGAAGGAAGGAAGGAGGGAAGGAGGGAAGGAGTGAAGGAGGGAAGGAAGGAAGTTAATTCAGTCGTGTAAACGTAAAACAAACCATTTATCGCGCGCAATTCCTGCCCACCCAAACCGTGTCATCATAGACATAGATAGTCACATGTCAGGTTTATTCTCAACCATTTCAACCATGCGGAGATGCAAGAGCTGTAATAATTATTACTGGGAAACTTTGAGCAAAGTTGCAATTAAAAACGCGCCTATAGTAGTATTTAATTTTGTATTTGCTTACCGCAACCAATATATGCAATTTGATAGCCTGGATAGCTGAGACTTCGATCCTGTTAGAAGAAATACCATCGCATAAGTCTTATTCTTATAATGCTTCATGTAACTTTTAAAGTATTATTGACTACGGGTCATAACAACTTACAACGACAGAAGCTGCAGGAAGGGGTATTACACTATGTCTAGAAATCGTTACAATGAACCATTTTTTCGGGCAATCCCTCATGCAACTTCGACRTCATTTCGGAAAAAAAGCTAGCCAATCAGAAAACATTTGCAAAACTGGGTGTCACTTTTCCTCCTGAAATTATGGATTTCCAAGCCCCCAAATATCAAAACAAAGTATATTTTGTTTTATATTTTCTTTGCAATCGCTGGCATGTTTCTATTTCTAGCAGGCTCCATGACATTTTATCAATTTGCAGTTACGTCATTTCTATACGTGATTTTTTCAGATGAGCTGGTTGTATCACCACAGGATTGGACAAACGTTCAAAGAAACATTATCCACGGTAACACTACCACCACCTCTGTATTTGGTGCCTTTTTACTAGGCCGTAGCCACCCCTAGGACATTAGTTCGTACGTCTTTTGTGTTAACCATCATAATAAAAGGCATATGGTTGGTTGGAGGTCGATTTATGTTTGGAAAAAAAAGTAATAAAACATCATAGACTTTTTTACATTTGGGTGAAGGGGTTGAGGCGCGGAAAGCAAGTTATTACAGCCATTCTCAATCACACGCGCCGCTCTAGCCATTAATTGTTTCTGTCGCGACGAAGAAGCTTTTGGTGGACGTCAATCAAGGCGTTTCCATGACATTCTATAGGCACGTACCCTAATAGCTTTGTGTTTTCCAACAATGTTATGGAAACGCCTTGTGATTGACGTCCACCAAAACCACTAAACCACCTTACCACAAGTCTTGAAGGGCTGTTGCCAAAAAATCTATTAATTTTGTAGGACCGTAAAACATGTTCTCTGTGGAAAAGAAAAAGCCTTCTTTCAAACATCACATATATATCTTACATTTGAAATGAAAAGTCTATTATTCAGAGTAATACTTTAATAAACCTATCTACCTCGGACGTAATTTTTTTTATCCATTTCAGAACACATGACATTCTCCTGAGAATAAGATTCTTTGCGTTGAGTTATATCCATATTCATGTGTCTTCTCATGCGYAACCGTTAAACAATCACGTGGTTTGAAATAGGAAAAATGTACGCCCAAGGTAGAGGTATATATACAGTCAATTCAAAAAACGTTGTCGTCGATCGGCTCAAGCCTACGCGACTAGACCGAAAGGAATATGGGTAAAAATCACTGAAGCGGTTAAATATTCATTCTGAATTAATTGTTCCCGCTAGTAATAAGATAATAATGGCGAGAAACAATCCATCAAATGCATGTCTTTGGGTATAAATTTTTTGAATTGACTGTATATATTGACCCTAAGGACACTGTTATCAAAGAGAGCCTTGTAATTACATATATTCATGAACCAATCATTCTTCACATAGCCGAAAAATGACTTTATTGTTAAGCGACGATACGATGGACGTACTAGTGGAAAAAAGAAATGGGTGAATGGTTGGATAGATAGCAATGAACAGTGATAATATTTACMTTGAAATTTACCAGATAAAAATTGAAATATACTCCTTTAGCTTGGGCGTAACGTTTTCCCCCATTTCAGATTAGGTGTCATTCCCTAAAGTACGATTTCTTTGTTTAACAGTTGCGCATTAGATGACAACTGAATAAGGATACRACTTAAACAAAGAATCATATTCTCAAGAGAATGACACGTGGTCTGAAATGGAAAATATAACACGTATTACTCTGATATGGTTGGACTAATCGTGATATAGTCAAAGTTTTAAGAAAGTATAGCACAACTTAGTACCTGTGGCACTTTAGGAAGTGCAGCAACATCAAGACTGTGAAGAAGGCAGAAAAGCAGGCACACACATCTAATGAAACTGTAAGTAACAGCGATGCAATATGTTTAATTTTAAAACTGGAATGGAAGACTCGCATAAGGAGGTAGAGAGACAAAAAAAAAAAAACCTGTGGGTAGTACAGTGATCGCACTTAAATGCAAGAAAGCACTGTCAATGTCAGCACCAACTTGTAAGGCTTAGCATTGATGCTAATTAAAGAGGACAAAGAAAATTCCAGATTAAAAATTTGTGTGTGCGTAAGATTATTACACCATTGTGTAAGTAGGATTAAAGCGCATTTATGCGCATTTGAAAAAACATTAATAGATATTTGCGCACCATAAATAAAATTAATTATTATAAACTATAAATGTATCAAAGTAGGATCTTTAGAGGTAGGGGGTGTAGAAAAATTAACYAAAACTCAACAACATAAATATAAATACCATATTTGTCCTATCTTACCTCCAAAAATCTCAATTACAATAATCAAAAATCGATAAAGGCGGTAAACTCCARGATTATTTCTAAAATGTTCTGTTTGTTTGCGCAAATTTGGGAGAAATTGCGTCACCATTGCACCCYGTTCAGCCAATGATACAGTCATCTGCACAAATATGAAAGACTAATGARCTTAATGTTTCGTGGGCTCTGGGTACGAGTTTGGGAAAACTCTAAAAAGTGTGGGGAGGGGGAGAGGGGAGGAGGGGGGCAGAGGGCTTTGCGAAGGTCTTAGATTACAAATAAGAGGAATGCTGAGTAACTGTCTCTGAAATCAACGGCAACACTTACAGCAACATTTTAAGAATTGGAAAAAAAATCTATTGCGAAAGCCTTTTTAAAGAAATGAATCATATTAAAAAAGTTAATTATCAATTAAAGAAAGCAAAACAAAAACAAAACAAAACAAAACAAAACAAAAAAAAACAAAATAAAAAACAAAAAAACAAAAACAAAACCATTTTAAAGTAGGCACTAATGTATACCTGATAAATAAAGATTACAGAAACCGTCAAGGTGGCAACCATCTCGGTTGAAAACTTGAAATCTGAAAGAAAAGAACACCAACTATAAAAGTTGTTTTTAAAAGGGTTGTTTAGCATAATATGCTGTGTATTTTGCAGTGATAAAAAAGGAATGCTTAACGTAACTTAAGGCTCTACGCATCGGAATAGAAGGCGCATAACGCTAAACAGTGTTTGTAACAAAGTTGTAGAAAACTAGAGAGGGTTKTTAGACTTGCGCCAAACCCCTCATATGATCACAATCAGTCTGATCTCTACCCCTCTGACTTGTCCGGCTTTGGTTGCCCTAGCTAAGCTCCAACCGTCACAGCTCGGGGGCTTCCCCGAGACACACACATGCCCCCTAAATACAACCAGGTAGAGATCACTACTGAGGAAGTTATACTAAAATTAATCTTTTGATAATGTCGTTTGCTTAAGGTATCTCGTAAGCCATACCTTCTCTTGGTTTGTAGAACCAATCCCTCACCTTGATGCACCAGTTCCTAGAAGAATCCAACCTAAGTAAAGAATCAAGTACATGTAAAAAAACCATGTTTGAGATCCTTTAAATTTGGGAGGTAATAGCAAAACACAAGACAAGCTTGGGGATTGGAAGAAAACTCGAAAGGTGTTCATGAGCATTCCCCTACGTRACGACCCCTGCGATCCCCGCACAGCGCCCACGCAAACAGCGTCAGCGCAAGCATTGCGCGCGTTTTCTAACCCTTACATATTGCTCAAAATTAGCTAATGCGACAATCCTTCTTACCTCTGATCTAATCTGTTGCTTAGCAACAGACGCACGTGGATATAGTCGTGTGCTTTGGCAATGACAGGCAATGGCTCCTTGTTTTAAAAGACATTTTGTCGATTACATTAATATGTTCAAGGAAAACAAAACACACACGCAGGTCTCCTTACTGTGATATAGAGCAGTTTTCGTATGACTGTGAAAACCTCATGGCACGAACACGGTCGTGACACGGCAAGGCGTAGGCCAGACCAATCACTTTGCGCGAGAATTTATTCTCCATCCAATCAAATACCCGGAACACGGCGTGAACACGGTCGCGACAAGGTCACGGCACTTTCAGACCAATCACATTGCGCGAGAAAAAAATCAGCCRATTAAAATTCTAAAAACTCACGAGTAAGGCACGGCACGAYTACGACACTGCGCTTTTCAAAGTCATGCGAAAACTGCTGTAAACACGCAGGGCGCTGTAGARCACGAGAGAAGCAAGCTTAGGAACATGAGGCGTAGCCGATTGCTCTACAGTGCCCCTAGAAGTGTTTAAAACACAGTACAGACGTAAGCAGTCGTTAAGGTTTAACTTATTAACAGTTTGGACATATGATTCCACTTGAGACCACGCGTCTGACCCGTTTAGTCCAGAAATGCTTTATAATCATGTTTTTCTTATTTTAGATAATTTTAGGTGTTTAGTACTTTGTCTGCAAAGAAAACTGTTATACTATTTTTCTATTTCCAACCATGTTACTTTCTTCAGAAGTGCTGCTATACTATTTCCCCATTTCAGACCAGGTATATAGTATATCCAGCAATACTGTTACACATATAAATACAATGACGCTGCCCAAGCTAAAGCGATATATCCTTATATCTTACCTGAATATTTCTGATTTCTGGTGCCCTGTACCTTCGCAAAAGTTCCCTGATTAAAAGCACGGCGAAACGACCAAGCAGAAATAGATAACAGAAAAGATCGGGAAGACGTTCAAACAGCTCTGATTGCTKGAACACAGGATTCAGTTTCTGGTGAAATGAGGATTAATAGATKAATGTTTAGGACGATAAAGGTCATAGAAATCAACTTAATAAGACATAAAGTTAGCCTTCAGGATCAAAGGAGAAAAAAAA